TTCAGTTGCTGGTCACAGGTGATGCCCACTATGTCATCAGCTCTTGCAAATTGCACATAGAAATCTCAATGAAGTAGAAATTGTCACATTAACTTTAAAAGCGCTGCAGCCCTCTGAAATCTCTATGCTTCGTGAATGCTGACCTTACACACCTCCCCAATTTTAATTGCTCTACCATAGACAACCATATTTTCAGCTGTCTAGGCTGAATAATAGTTACACTTCAAAAGAATTCATTGGCTGTTTAAGATGCATTGATGCCAAAAGAAAAGTGCATTATAAATGCAAATCTTTCTTTTTGTAGCCTAACCTCTGGAGTTCACACCTAAACCTCTCGACATTTTCATTTTCAGAACACTCCTTAAAATGACCTTGGTTGACCAGGTTGTTTTTGGGCACCTGTCCTAATGATTTATTCATGTAAATCAGTGTCAAATTTTGTTTAAAATCACTCCTGTGAAATGATTTGGAGCATTTATTGTGTTAAAAGTGCTATCAGTATCAAAGTATTCGCAAAGCAATGTATCCTCATGCATAAAGGAAAGAATTTCCGTAGCAGACAAGTTTTATACAGTATAAACAAATTCCAACAAATGCTTGTTATCCATAATGTTTCTTTTTAAAAATAAAAATGGAAAATGCTGGTAATATATGAAAAGAACCATGAACTGGAAATCCACAACAGCTTTATTAGCATCTCAAAAGAAAGGTTAACATTTCAGATATCTTTCATCATAAGAACAGAAAACTGGAAGACAAGCACAGTGAATTTACCCCTGTTAAGAAGAGGCGGGAGTCAGAGCAGAACTCAGGAAAGTTGGATGGATGCAGTCAAATATTGTTAATCCATTGTCCTCACTTTCCACTTCACTGGTCTCAGAATGTTGGCGGATTTCTTTCTTCATTCAGGTTGCCACATTGGTCTTTCCAGCATTTACTATTTTTGCCTCAGTCTTCCATTTTCTCTCCAGAATCTGCCTCTATTTTATGTGTTTGCTTTTTGTGGGAAAAACATCTATTTACTAGTTTGCACTTCATACACATTTAGATTAATGTGCACACTTTGACACAATAAAAATGATTAAAAACCAATAGAAAAGTTGCCCATTTTACAGGATAGTACTTGGTATGGGGTGGGCGGAAGAGGTTGTGGGATGACAGTGCAGTTAGTGTGACTAGAATTATGAGGAGAAACTTGGGAAGTTACAGCTTTATCATTAGAGATGAAAAGGCTAAAGACCTGACAGATTCTTTGAAGTGATGAACCATTATGATAGCATATAATAGAACTAGAAAAGAAAGGCTTTACAAATAATGCTTAGAAATTGGAATTTTTGCCACCAAGCATTGTTTAAAGAGACATTATAAATTTGAAAATGAGGATTGCAAAAAGAGTCATGCAGGAGATCAGGATTAGACTAAATGCTTTCAATGAAGTAAGAACATTAGCACAGAATTTTACTTTTACCCTTTCACAAGATGTGGGTGCCCAGATAAGCATTTGTTGCCCATACTTAAATATCCTTGAAAATTCAGTACTGAGTTGGTGCCTTGAACTGCCGCTTAACATGTGTTGCTGGTCCACCCACAGTACTGTGAAGAAAGGAGCTCCAGGATTCTGATCCAGTGGCAGCGAAAAGAAAAATGTGATATATTTCCAATCAGGATGGTGTGTGCCTTGGAGAGTAACTTGCAAGTGTGGTGTTACCTTCAATTCGCTGTCTTTGACCTTCTAGATGGTGTTCATGCTCTGGAAAGTGTTGTCAAAGGAGACTTGGCAAGCTACTGCAGTGGATCTTATAGATAATAAAGACTGCTGACACTATGCATCAGCGGTGGAGGGCATGAATGTTGATATTTGTTTATGGATTGCCAGTCAGACAGGTTGGTTTGTCCTGGATCATATTGATGGTCTTGAGTATTCTTGGCGCTACAGTTATCCAGGCAAATGGAGAATATAGAATTACACTCCTGACCTGTGCCTTATAGACAATGGACAAGTTTTGGGGATTCAGGAGGTTAATTACTTGTTATGGAAATCGTAACCTCTGACCCACCCTTGGAGTACATGTATTTATATGTTTAGTTTCTGATCATTGGTTACCCTCAGGATGTTGACACTGGGGCATTTAATAAAGATATTGTCCTTAAAGGTAGAGGCAAAAGTTTGATTCTGTCATGGCATTGATGGTCATTTCATGCACAGATATCAGCCCAAGCTACATGTGGACACAGCTTCAAGAGTCAGAAACGGCGCTGAACATTTGCAATCATCAGTAAACTTTTTCCTTTATGACAGAGAAAAAAAGTCAGTGATGAAGCAATTAAAGATGGTTGGGCCTAAGACACTAACCTGAAGAATTCTTGCCATGATGTCCTGGGGTTGTGATGATTGATCGCCAACGAGCATAGCCACCTTAATTTGTGTTCAATATGACTTCCACCAGTGGGGAATTTTCTCCCTGATACCTCGTTACTTCAATTTTGCTAGGGCTCCTTGAGGTAATATTTAGTCAAATGCTGCTTTGATGTCAAGGGCAGTCACCCTCACATCTTTTTGGGGTTTCAGTTGTTCTTTTTTTCCATGATTGGATGAAGGCTATAATGAGGTCAGGAGGTGAGTGGCCCTGGCAGAACACAAACTGAGCTCTATCATTGATGCTTCACAGCATTGTTGACATCACCTTCCATTACTTTGCTTGTGATTGAAAGTAGACTGATGTGGCAGTAATTAGCCAGGTTGGACCGCTCCTGATTTTGCCCTGTGGCCAAGACATACTTGGGAATATTTTCAAATTATCGAGCATATATCAGTGTTGTAGCTGTAGTGGAACAATTTGACTGTGCACTGGTAGATCTGAAACACGTACCTTTAGTATTATTGCTGGAATGTTGTCAGGCATATAGCCTTTGCAGTATCCAGTGCCTCTTGACATCAAACTGTGGAATGAATCAAATTGGTTGAAGATTGGCTTCTGTGCTGTTGAGAGCCTCTGGAGGAGGCTAAGATGGATAACACACTCGGCTCTTATGGTTAAAGATGGTTGAAAGTTTTTCAATCTTGACTTTTCCTCTGATGTGCTGGGTTCCCCATTATTGAATAAAAACTGAAAGAAGTGTGGATGCTATAAATCAGGAACAAAAACAGAAGTTGCTGGAAAAGCTCATCAGGTCTGGCAGCATCAGTGAAGAAAAGATCAGAGTTAACATTTCAGGTCCGGTGACCCTTCCT